AACCAATTTTATTGAAGATTTTAAAAGATAAATTGAGTATTTATTTGAAATTTTAAAAGAATTTTAATAAGAAACTTAGCATTTATTTAAAATTTATGAAGAATTTTAATAATTTTTTAAAATATAATATAGTAAGATGCCACTTTTCTATTGACCTCGCTGGTTGCAATTTATTGTATTCCTGGAGAAGTCTTCGCTTGGGGACCGAGTCTCTGGTTGGATTGGACCGAGTGGTGGAGTCTTTGGTTGGAGTGGACCGAGTGGTGGTGCGACGTTGCAATTTATGACCGAGTCTTTGGTTGGAGTGGACCGAGTTTTTGGTTGGAGTGGAACGAGTGGTGGTGCGAGGTTGCAATTTACGACTGGGTCTTTGGTTGGAGTGGACTGAGTCATTGGTTGCAATGGACCGAGTGGTGGTGCGAGGTTGTGATTTATGATCGAGTCTTTGGTCGGAGTGGACCGAGTCTTTGGTTGGAGTCGACCGAGGAGTGGTGGCGGTGGTTTGGAGGGTAGGGCAGTAATATAAGAACAATATTTTGGTATAATTTTTTATATAATTTTCATATATTATTAAATAAATTGATACATTTAATATCATAAATTTTAAATTAATAAAAAAATAAATAATTTAAATAATACGTAAATATGTATAAAAATATGGTACAAAAAATTGTCGCTAAATTCTTTTTTAAATAAAATATATCATAATGTAAAATATATATGTATGTATGTATATATATATATATATATAATTGAAAAGTTGCAGAATTCAAATTAAAATGGAATTGTATTAAAATAAAATATAACTAGTTTTTTTTTTTTTTCCTGTGCCGTAGTTTTTTATATTAGAGTTTATATTTTATACTATATTTTATAAATTTTTAAATTTTATAATAATTTTTTAGTCAAAAGATTTTAGTTGCGTCTGATAATTAGTAAGAATATTTTTCAAAGTTATGATTAGCGACAATTTTATATCTATATTGTGTGATTTTCTTTTGTAATTATTTTTATAATAAAATTATTTTATAGATAAGAATATCCATTATACTTCATTTAAATTTCAAAAAAAAATTGTTGTTAAAAAAAAAATGATAAAGTTGTTTTAAAGAATTGTAAGTTGTAATTTGTTAATTAGATCTGAGGATAAACTGTCGAAATTTTTTGCATTACATATTAAAAAATATATTTTTGAATTCATATTGCACAAAATATATTTTTTGGCATAAGGTAATTTTGTAGTTTTACAACTTAAATTGTACTTTTTGTGTTTTTCATTTTAAAAAACTATACTCCTATATATTATAAATTGAAATTTTAAAACTTTTTCAAATGATCAATGTTTGAGATTATTTCAATTTTATAACATCACACCTTATCATTTTTGTTTTATCTATGTTGTTTTTCCCAAATTTTAGTGGTTCCTCCTAAACATGAAACAATTTTAGTTATAATAGCCATTTCTATTTGACTAAGATTTGAAATCTTATTTATTTATTTAATTTTTAAATGCATAATGGATTCAAATTTTTTGTCATCTATTTATTTGATTACATCATGTTGCTTAAGTTGTTGGTTCTATAATCTCATTTAAATTAGCCAGATTAGTATGTTATTCAAGTTCTTTCATGTGTTCCTATATTATTAACTATTGATGTTGCAATAAATCAATAATTGTTATTTGTACCATGATATAATAATTATAATTGAGATTATTTTTTTACTAAAACATGATATAATAATTGTAATTGAAAATTTTAAATTACGTTTTTCATTAAGAAATTTTTGTCCATATAGATTTTTTTTTTATCTTCAATACTCACTTGTACTTTTATCTTTAAATTGAGATAATAATAATATTATTAATAAATTGAATTTTTTGTATATCATGCATTAATATAAAGATAAATCATATTCAAATTGTTAGTAAATCGTTTTAGTTTTTTTTCTTTGTTTTGATTTTTGAAATTAATATTAAAATAATAAAACAATTATCATGTTACATTATTAATCATGTGCCTTTTGATTTTCCTTTATCAATTATAATATAATAACTTTCATTAAAATTACATTTTTTATTACTTAAATAAATTATAATTAAATTTTAGTATATTTACAACCTTTTACTTACCATTGAATTAATTAGTGGCAGATGCAGCGTACCCCGGTAGGAACCAACCCATTTGGCATACATTTCTTAAAACGGGAAATCTTTCCCTCTTTTTGTTTTGTTTTGTTTTTTTTTTTCACTTTCAAGTATTTAGTAATTACATTGAATTCTGATTAACTGAGAATCAAGTTGGATCAAATCTCATTAGGGAGAAGCTCTTTCAACGTTTATTTTTCTATTTACAATATTCGAATTCAAAATTTTATTTAAAGAAAATCAAATTCCTTTTACTCGAACCAATAAGTTATTGGTATCTTTTTATTATTTTTATTTTTTATTTTTGGTTGCCTACAGAGAAGAATCCGGCCTTGAAAAAAACTTGAAATGCAACTTCAACCGGCCTTGGTTTATCTCAAGCCACTTTTAACCAAAACAGAAGGCTTGATTTTGAACAGGTTTTATCTTTTGTATATGTCTGCCTCTTGCATACATTGAATAGCACAGGTTTATTTTATCCTTTTAAAAAAATCCCAATAATAGTCTCCATATATATTTTTTTTGAACAATATGTCAAGGAGCAGGTCCGAACTCGTCCAAGGAGGGAGGAGGGTGCATCACAATGTGATCGGAGGTCACTTGACCCGAAGAGTCAGGTGCAATAATCTCCATATTTGACTCATAATTATATGGGAGAATTGCATGATACAATAAATTGTATCATGTTTTCTTTTACTTTTAACAATAAATTATGATATAATAATTACAATTAAAATTATATTTTTTTATTAAAAAATAATATAATAATTATGATTAAAAATTTTAAATTATATTTTTCATTAAGAAAATTTTGTCCATAGAGACCTTTTATCTTCTAATTTGCTTATATTTTTATCTTTAAATTGAGTAAAAATAGTAACATTAAATAATAACAATAAAAATAAATTAAATCTTTTGCATATCACTTCACGCATTAATATAAAAATAAATTATATTCAAATTGTTAATAAATTGTTTTAGTTTTTTTTTTCTTTATCATTATTTTTAAAAGTAATATTGAAATAATAAAACAATTATCATTTATATGTTACATTATTAATTACATACTTTTGATCTTTTGTTATCAATTGTAATATAATAATTTTCATTAAAATTACATTTTTTATTACTTAAATAAATTATAATTAAATTTTAGTATCTTTGCAACCTTTTGCTTTCCATTGAATTAATTAGTGACAGATGCAGCGCACCACAGTAGGAACCGACAGGTCCAACACATCTAGTATACATTTCTTTTTTTTTTATGCAATCTAGTATACATTTCTTAAAACGAGAAATCTTCCCATTTATTTTTATTTTTTATTTTTTGGTTGCCTACAGAGAAGAATCTTGCCTTGAAAAAAAAACTTGAAATGCAACTTCAACCGGCGTCGGTTTATCTCAAACCACCATTTAACTAAAACAGAAACCCCAGGTCTCTCTTATTTACAGAGTAGAAAGATTAAGCAGGACCCCGCCCCGCCCCGCCCCGACCATGCCATTGCCGAAGCAAGTGCATGCTGCAATCTGTTCGAGTCCAACTAGGCCTACATTCACGCAATCTTCCTCTACCTCAGGTCAAATACAATGAAATTATACATTGAGATAGTCAAGACAAAAACTCCGAGTAAAGAAATTTCAAAAAGAAAAAAATCTCATCTTTGTTCATACTCCTTAGTCGTCGAAAGGGATAGAAAGTTAGAGACACCGTTAGGGGTAGTGAAAAAGCAAGAGAGAGAGCGCATTCGCTTGTCCCTTTCACTGAGGCAAGTTCCCATATCAATTCTACATAATTGTCATGGCAAATTTAAAAGACTTGGTCTCAATTACTTCAGCAAAGTCGAACAACATGGAGCTCCACAAATTGGCAGCAAACTTCTACATCTTGGTCAATATGTTACGTACAAAAATTTCTTGTGTTAGGTAGAAATTATTGTTTATGTATTATAAGATTTCTGCTATATAATGACAGAAGATGAACAAAGAAAATTAATTTTAACCTTATCAAAAGAAGGAACTCTGGGTACCTCTCCTTTTCCTCCAAGTCCTCTCTCCACCCTTTCTTGAATGGTCACATCTGTGATGCATTCAGGGCAAGCATCGAGAAATTCAGCCATAATATCCAATTTTCCTTGTTCAACTGCAAGATGAAGAGGTGTTAAACCACCACTCCCTTTGACACGAACCAGATCTTTGTCAACTTTCAAAAGCTCACTTGCTACCAGATTTTTGTCATTTTGGAGGGCAAGGTGCATCGGGCTAAACCCAGATGGGTTTAGTTTCCTTGCAAATGATGGCTTTAAGTTCATAATTTCCATAACAAAATCAATATGCCCTTCGGAGGCTGCTCTATGCAAGGGAGTGTCAACAAAAGGAAATTCATCAATGCTCTTCAAAACATATGGATTCTGTTGAATCAGTTCATACAAATCACTAACATTTCCTGCTTCAGAAACCTCTCTCATTCTCTCATCCATGGTGATTGGCAACTGGAAAGAAACAAATTAATTAAGGATTTTAGCAAAATGATAGAGTTAAATGACACGTAAGTGGGGTAGATAAGGGATGGCAAGAGCACATTAATTAGGTAAAAATTGAAGATTATAATAATTAAAAGAAAATTTTCAAAGTAGTATACTGTATATTTTTGTGAAGTATTATGTCACCGTAACTCACTGTAATTATTCTGACAGATCCAGAACTTAGTTGAGAATTAGGATGCCTTACCTTAGAAATCCTTCTGTTGTCAAACTTTGAGCACCACAATCTTACACAAACACAAGTGATAAAAAAATTAAAACAATAATTTAATGTAATTTAACTTATATATCTCATAAGAAATTTACATCCACTAAAAAGGAAAAAGAATCTAATATTAAGAAAAAAAGTACAATAATTCAAAAATTCTTTTATTCAAGAAACGCACAACACTCAAATTTCAATATATAAAAACTTTTAAATTTTCTTAATACTCCCTTTCCATCTTCATAAGAATTATCTCACACCCTCTCTTTCTTTTCTTTTTTTTTCACAAGAGCACTCGCTTGGCTCATCTTAATCTCTCTTGCTTGATTCTTCTGCCTTCTACCAAGCTCTATTTATAGAGCTCATCAACTCAATTAAGCAAATGAGAACAAGGCGTGCAAGACTCCTTTACGGTGGGGCCGTGTCTAACAATAGGCTAGAGGAATTCTTCTTGCAATCAAGCCTTTTGTCAGTGTGGTACTAAATGCCATTGACGGTGAAAAGAAAGCCCCCCATTTCAAAATTTTTACACCACCTTTCAATGGGGCTGGATCCATGTACACAACAACACCTTCTTCTTCTTAATTAGCTTGGTTAATGAGAGCTGAATCTAATTAAAACCTTCAAACTAAGTCGGAAAATTCCCAAGAAAAAATTTGTGTAGAGAGTGAATAAAATGCTTTTGCCAAAAACAAAGGAAATTAAATAACATGATGTAACGAATAGAGTTTGAATTAATATATGGACTACAAAAATTATATGATAATATTATAATTATAATGCTATATAAAAATAAAAATTTATAATTTAAACATAACATTAAACAAATAAATATATATAATATTATGAATAAATTTTTAAATAAAAAAATTAATTATATAATAATACATTATATTATAAACTTATAATATCATTTAATATTATAAATATAAGACCTTTGCAAATTACATATGGATTTGAAGGAAATGATTAAGTTAAATGACGCGTAGGTTTAGGGCATGTTTGGATTGCAGGTTGGCATTGGATGGTATTGATAACGCACTTAAAATTTCAAATAAGAAAAATTGCGTGTGAAAGTTAAGAAAAAAAAATGAAGTCACCACCTATCTCAATAATAGAAGAATAGACCACTAACGGTCTATGAGAGACTTGAGACTAAGGGTACGGTTAGAGATGGAGACATAAAAAAAATTGAGTGTGAAAATTAAGAAAAAAAAGAGTTGCCACTTACCTCCAATGGTAGAGTAGATCACCACTAGTCCACGAAAGATTTGAGATTCAAGGGTACGGTTAGACATGGAAAATAAGAAAAATTGAGTGTGAAAATTAAGAAAAGGAGAAGTCACCACCTACCTCAATAATACTGGAACAGGTCATATTGGTCTATGAGAAGGGTACCGTTACACATGAAGAAGGGCACGTGCACACTCCACTACCTCTATGAAATCACAGTTAACTACTTCTAACATTGGGATTAAATTCTTTATCAAAAAAATATTGGGATTAAATTGACAAACAAACAAATTATTTTATTGATTTATTATTATTATTTTTAAAAAAATTTTCCTTAGATTTTGTTTCTTTGAGCCAACCCCAACAAACAAGAAAAACACTAATGCAACATGAAATGCAATTAAAGGAATCAAATGTGTGACTAAGAACAAAGGACCTGACGACTTGTCATACTTTATTGAATAAAAGGAATTCACAACTACAAAACATGCATGAATATAGTGAAGGCTAATCAGAAAAGAAGATAACTCAGGACCAAAATGCAGCCATAAGAAAAAGATTTTCCTTTAGAAGGAATGACGGAACAATGCAAAGATGCAATGCACGAAATACCTGGTAAGAAGTTAAGAACACAGGCAAATAAACTTGACAAGAAAACATACAAAGGAAAATAATGGAAAATCCTCATAACAAATGCAAGACATTAAACCGGAAGATCTTTTAACATCCTTCAACAGACAAATACAGGAGCCTTCAATTAACATGAAGTGCAAGACATGTGGCCATGAGAAATCTAAAGGAGAAAAATGAATTCTCAAGGCAAAACAAAAGTGATGGTACAAATAATAATAATAAACAAAAACTTGAGTTAAATGGAAATCTACAGACCAAACACATGGTTATGACTTGCAACCACGTAGCGACATCTATAATGAATTTGAGCATAATTAACCAAAACGGGCTTCCCATGTTCACGAATTTAACTGGAGTGAATCAGATATAGCTCAATGAACCAAAGAAGTCAACAGGAACTCCATAACGGAATGAGTCTCTATGATTTAGGATGTTCATATTCTGAATCTCACCAGAGAAAGGAAAAGAAACTAATAAAGACATGAAATCTCTCGATCAAAGATTCAAGAACAAGTCAGGAGCGGCAAAGTCATCCTCGAGGCACCAAAAATCAGTTCAGAAAGCAAAGATAAATTAAGACTCATGTAAAGACAAAAATTAAAATCAACATAAGCTTAATAACATGCAAACCACAAGATACTTCAAGACAACCGAAAAGAATCAGACTGAAAGACAATTCCACCAAATAACCTATTTCATTAATGACATTAAAAAAGAGGAGAACAAAGCTGACAAAACATTACTAATCAAACCCATACCACTAATTTCTAGAACAAAACGCGCACGAAAATAATGTATTAATCTTGGGTTGGTCCCTTAAACTTGGTGAATTCAAGTATTCACAACATCAACACAAAATAATCACAGAGCAAAAGCTTGATAAATTTCTCATTTCAATTGTAAATAAATTACATGAAATTGAATGAGATGAGTATTGTACCTAAATTCCAGATCAAATTACAAGCAGTAGGGAACTCGAAATTCCTCCTGCCAGCAACCCAAGGCACTCGGATCTTCTTCTTGTCTCTCTTTTTTTTTTCTTTTCTCTGTCGGCTCCCTCATTTTACATCCGAAATAAATCCCCTATTCATAAAGGATGAACAAATTCCCCAGAAGCCCTAATCTTCTCTCAATCAGAGCCCTCCGATTTCGCCCTTTTTCTCCTACACGTTGATCACCAAATGCCAAACGACCTTCTTGCTTTTCCCGACCATTGGTGTAGCGCAGAGCTATGACCCAGCTGTTCTGAAAAGTTTTAAAGTCTGCATTTTGATATGCTTGATAGATGTGTATCTGAGAAAGACTTCATTAATTATTCACAAGAAACAGTGGGGTACAATATATACAGAATTACAAAAGTTAAATCTAATCTAATTAAGAAATAATATTTGTATAATATATTTACGATTATAATACTGATACAGAGAATCGCAAAATTATGGATTCGTGAATCTGGAACTTGGTGATTTTCTATCCTTTAATACATTTTACGAATTTCATCCTACATTTTATTTAATTCACTAGTTTATTCAAATCATTCATGAAAGTAATTGTCTGTAGATTTTTTTAGTTGTCATTAAATTTAGAATAAAATATTCTCATGACAAGTAGTGACTCATAAGTGATATCTATTAAAGACAAAAATTGCCTTTTAATAGAAATATTTTTTTCCCCAAAAATTAGTAAAAAAGTCTCTAAATTTTTAACATTCCTTTGCCCTGTCCTCCATTTTACTCCTTAGGTCATTTACCTTTTAATACTTAAAATTAGTCTAAAATATTTACCTTAGTAACTAATATCTATATTTTTTTAGATCAAATATTAAAACTTCACCTCTAACTTATAATTTTTTATTAAATCAAATTTATTTTTTTTTATTTTCTACACTAATTTTTTTTATATTTTTAAATTTACGAGTTGGAGAAATAAAGTATATCATGGTATAAATATCAAAACATCCAACTACAATCCCAAGATAAGTGAAATATAATATAAGTTTCACTTAAATCTTATTTATCATATGATTTGGATTAATTGTCTTAATATTTTTAATATTAATACATTTAATTTTCACTTTTCTATTAAGTTTGTTACATAATTTTTTAGATTTTTTTTATACTATTTCTTTTTCAAAAATGCAACTACATAATTATTCACTAATTATCAAAAAATTTTAAGTACAATATATATATTTCACATTAAGCATGACCAAATTTGATTTTAAACACAAGTTTATAACTTTACAACTATGTGATACTCATTCTAGTCCATTATAATTTTCCTAATCCATTAGCTTTATACAATTAACTTGATAATTTTACATAACAAATAAGTGAAAACTAAATTTTTGTTTTAATTTAAGTGAAAATATTTAAGGAATACTATATTTAAAAAGAAAAGAAACATTGTCAATTATTATTTATTTACTATATAAAATAATTAATAAATAATAATTAAATCACAATTTACACAAAAATCAAAATAACACATCTTTTTTTTTTTTTTTTTTGAACATAAGCAATTACGGCGAGAGGGAAGAAAAAGGAGTGGAGATTAAACTCCACACTCTAAGGTAAGATGTCTTTTAACAATATTTAAGTAGCCACTTGGCCACTTAGGCTTCTCAACTAAACTAAAACTTGGAAGGGATAATACCTTAGATTAGGGGCGGACCATAAATGGCTTGGGTTGGGCACAGGCCCTACCCAGCTGAAGTTCCACCATTGCATTTCAAGAGTTAATAGAAAGCTGAATGGCCAATTTGTTTATATTTTATTTTCTAGTAGTATCATCTTCGAGGTAACTTGTGACAAGTAGAATTAGCATACTTTGCAATATGAGAGTTTGGTCTCTTTTAATTTTCCACACTTTAAAAACTGAGGCTACGTAAATTTCTTTTCTTAGCTTGAGTTTAGAGAATAAACTCCTATGCTATATACTGTAGCTCAAAATTCAAACATTTCAAACCTCAATTTTATTGTGATTAATATACATTTTCAACTTCACTAGAGTATTCTTTATACAAGTTTTTTTTTTTTTAATATAATTTCTGTCACTTTAACCATATAAGATTTTACTCAATGCTTCACCATTTTTTAAAAAGACAAAAAACAAAATACGTTAATAATCAGAACACAATATGCCTTACCTAACAGTGGGATCCAGTTCCGCCCCTGCTTTGGACACAAGTATGATTTGGATGTCGACAACCGTAATTGGCCCCTCAATTTCAAATCTTGACTCCACCACTGACTGCTGTCCTCCTGCAGGTTTGCTTTCGGTTTGTTTCTTCTTTTATTGGCTGGATGTGAGAGAAAATTGTATGCACTAATTCAGAAGAATCCACTTGTTACAGACAAGCCATCATTGCTATAGGGAGAAAATAGACCTAGCTAGCAAGGAGATTGTCCAACTTGTGCATCTAAATAAGTCCCATCTAAAATCCCTGGTCCTGAATTTCTAGAGTAAAAAGATTAAGAGCATGTTTTGACTGGGTTTTTATGAGTTTTAGTTTATATTTTGATATTATTTATATTTTATAAATTTAAATTTTTTTAAAAATTTTATATTTTTAAATTTTTTTAAAAATTTTATATTTTTAAATTTTTTTAACTTGTCAAATAATAAAAGTTTAAAAATTTTAAATTTAAATTTTTCATAAACTTTTCATAAATTTTTTTTACTCATTTTTCACTTATTTTTTTATAATAATTTTTAAAATTTTCATACAATAAAAATTTAAATTTATCATTTATAACAATACTCAAAAAGTAAAAACTCTCACAAGTTAAATCAAATAAGACCTAAGCAGGACTCCGCCGCGAAAATGCCGTTGCCGAAGCAAGTGCATGCTGCAATCTGTTTGAGTCCAACTAACCCTACATTCACGCAATCTTCCTCTACCTCAGGTAAAATACAATGAATACATTGAGATAGTCAAGACAGAAACACTAAAGAAAGAAATTTTAGAAAAGAAAAAAATCTCATCATCTATATTAATGCATACCTGGTCGCTGTAGGGGATAGAAAGTTAGGGACACTATTAAGGGTAGTGAAAAAGTAAAAGAGAGAACACATTCGCTTGCCCCTTTCACCAAGGCAAGTTCCCATCAATTTTACTGCCTCGACCATACCTCATAACTACAGTTTGAAGTTTCAATGAAGCATATGACTAAAGGGGAATTATCTTTAGCGTGTAGTTTGGTGGTTGGTTAGATCAGTGTCATTTTACAAGTGATCTTGAATAATTTCAAATAATAATATATATACTTATTAATTAATTTTTTCTGTATGGATTGTGCTTGTTATTCTATCTGGACAACAGTGACATGATTGGGTTTCGGTCTCCAAATTCTCATATGGTTTAGGGGTGGATCTGTGATTGTGAGCTTGTTTGGATTGGATTTGAATCATTTGATGAAAACATTGAACGTCTAAATGGAGGAGGTTGTGACACTTCAATCCCAAATTTTAAAAAATTGATTATGATTATGAATAATATAATATAAATGTGATATGTAACTACTACTAACAATTTAAATTTAAAATTAAATTTTTAAAAATATATAAATTTTATTTTGAAAAGTTATCAACTTAATAACGGGTTTTGGCGTAAGTTCTTTCATGATCATACCCCTATATTCAACGATGGAGGAGGGCAATGCCCTCCTAAGATATTTATCTAACTTTGAAATTAAGAGAATAATTAATTTGAAACAACTTTTTAATAAAAAAATAAATAATGTAGTTACTAAATTTATTTGTATGTTATTTTTATTTTATCTCTTAAAATATTGATCAAACTCTGTTCTTGCCCTTACTCATCCTACCTCATGGATGAGGTTTGAAGGCTTGATGAAGAAAGCGCATAGATGAACGGGGAAGTCATTAGCGTGTAGTTTGGTGGCTAATTAATATCACTGTCATTTTTGGTTGATAAAAGAAAATATCAATGTCAATTTCTTTTGTTCTGCCTAACGGCAACGTTCAAAGTCCACGTGAAAACTATGTATGAACAGAGTTTCAACCCAGGCTTTGGGTAAAATTTCATCAAGTTGTTGATATCTTCACCTAATTATTCAATCAACATCATGTCCTACTAAGTGAGAAAACATTTTCTTTATATATATATATATGAAGTGAGAAAACATATTAGGTTTTCTAAGATTCAAACTAAAATCACTTTTCGTTGCTATAATTAGCCAAATATGGAAGAACCATTTTACGCCCATTTTGGCTCGGCTGTCTTAAAAGAAAAAACAAATCGTAAACAAGTAGGTGAAAAAAGGCAGCAGAAGAAAGGTTGGGCAGATTTTTAACAAAAGCTTGTGAAGAATTGTTAAACAAGTTGGGGTCTCTCCAGTTTCAAAAGGTGGGTATCGATTTGTCTCGATGTTTGGAGAATGAATACCGATTAGTACTCTTTCTATAACACATTGCATAATATATTTATTATAAAATTATTATTTTTTAATTTAAAATTAAAAATAAATAAATTTAAAAATATAAAACATATATACAATATATAAGAACAAACTAAATCAATTATATTTATATTCTAATTTAATAACTAAATTAAACAAGTGTTGAAAAACATGTTAAATAAAAAAATGTACCAATCAATTCCTCATAAAGAATGAAGATGGTAAAGTAAATGGGTGTGTGAAGATGAGATTATCTAATTTAGTAGTAGCCTTTTTCAATTAAAATCTCATTGGGTTCAAGAACTAAAATTTGTCAAAGATTCCAATGGTAGAAATCATTCCTCAACCATCCCTCTTTTTTTTTTTCTTTTTACCTGTTGCACCACAATTGCAAACGAAAATAATTGGTATGTTTTCGGTTTAACACACTTACTAATACTTATTGATTCAGTCATTAAAATCTGCAATTTTAAGTTTTTTTTATTTTTAATTTAAATTTAAAAAAAAAATAATTTTTTAATAAATGTATTATAATATGTTTTAAATTAAATAATATACCTATCATTGTTCAATTTCAAAACAATTATGGGGTTGTCTAACCTATGCCCTAAGGGAAGAGAATAAGACTCATTAATTAGAATATTTTTAATTAATTTTACAAAAATATTTATATCAAATTCATAACTTTATACAAATTTTGATGTAAAATATTATATTTTTATATATTATATTTTATTTTATTTGAATTTTGTATAAAATTTTATGTAAAATTAATTACAAAAACTACGATAAATGAGACTTAACATGTGCTCTAAAGGCACAGCCTAAAAAACTCGAACAATTGTATACCAATTAGAAGCTTTTGGTACTGCAAAAACTTTGCCAAATTTAACCATAAGTGTCAATTCCCTTGCCAATAGGCAATAGAAATCTGAATTCAACTGCTCCAACCTTGGTTTTGAAGGCAAATATCAAATGAAACTTTCTCCATGCATCAAAACAAGTTTGAAATGCTTGAAAACTAGGTGCTTTCATTTATTCATACGACAACTTAATAGAAATGAAAGTGGACTAAAGTCCCCCACGTCTCCTCAAATTAACACTGGCTATAGTGTATACCAAAGAGGGAATATGATTGTATAGCTAAAAACGTTACAGTATGTGGACCAACTAAGAGAGCGTAAACCATTAATTAGCTACCCTATAAACTGTTACAAATAACCTTATAAGAAACAAGGACACAGGTTAATTAATCATCATCCTAAATTCCTAATAAATAGACCTTTATAAATTGAATGTGAAGAGGGACTGGACCACCGTAAAACACTACGAGGTAAAAAAGATTGGAAAAAATTAGACAAAATATATTAGAATTCGCTTCTTACAGCAGCTTGGACCAGCAAGATTAATTACACCAAAAACGAGAATGTAGGACATTAATCCAAATATTCAGAACCTGCATAATATTTTCACTAGGGATCTTAATAAAATTAACCAAAAAATTTATTTGGTCTAATCTTCTTAAACATAACCTAAAGCAAAATTACATGAAATTATAATGCTTCGATCACCGTTGTTTGCGGTTTGCACATCATTTTAGACCCCGGCCGCCTCTCCCTAGGAAGACATCAGTAAGAACATTTTTAGACTGCAATGAAGCCTTGAGCAGTTTAACCCCCTGAAACAAGAATGAATATTAGTTGTCAGCAGTACTAATCATTAATTTGAAGGCAATGAAAAACTAAATATGGCAGAAAGCACATAAAAGTACATCTGACCTGATCCATTCCCAGATCAACCACCCTGTCTTCAAGAGACCCAATTTCCTTGACATTGAACCTGTTCAGCATGGATATTCCAGTAATGGTTGACATAGGCTTGACCTCAAGGTTATCCATAACCATGTATGTCACCACCCCTTTCACAAAACCTCCCTGATTTACAGGGGAAAATGGGTTCTTTGGTGACTCAACAAAGGTCATCAGTGAATTGATTAAGCGTCCACATCGGGGACAGGTAGCAGTTGGGTCATATGCCGCATGCACGCCACAGCTTGGACACTTATAGAATTTTGTAGAAGTTGCTGTCTGAATGTTTGGCAACAAGAGAGGAACAGCTTCTCCGGATGCAAAAAACTCGGGCTTCAACAGGGAATCCTTCGCCTGTGATGCCTGCATGTAAGTGTCATTCAAAGTCTCGACGCTCTCATATAGGTTGCCAAGGCAACCCACCATTCCGTGTTTGGACAGAAGCCTGATCACCGTTCCGATAGGCAGAGACAGTAAATTGAACAGAAAATCAACGAAGTCTTTGTTGGCTTCAGCGAAGAGGACTTTCTCGGCCTTTTTGTCTACCAGAAGTCTCAGGCTCACTTTGGCTGTGGTGTCTGCCATTGAATCAAACACTAATTTTCTGAATAAAATATACCAGAGATGGTGATAGTAAGAAAGTTCAGGATGGTTTATATAGAGATAAGGCAGTATATACTACATAGAGAAGCGGAATAGGCAAAAAAAACATTCATCGCAAAAAGAGACTTCTGAAATCCCAATCAGCAGAACTGCCTCTTCATGTGCCGCAACAGCATTAGGAGTCCCTTGCAAATATGCAGTCAATCCTCGAAATCTTTTGAATTATTTTCCCCATGTAAGCAATAAAAACTTGTTTTGTACTCCTATTGGTGCATGTTGAGGTTTGAGAATAAAGAGAACAAAGATTGAGAAGTGAAGAAAATTTCCTATTGGTACTACAAGTTTAGGTTTGAGTTACCAAATAAGTACTGTAGGTCATTAATTGTTGCAATAGAATCACAAACGGGTTTTCCATGGTGCTTGGCGGAAAGAATTTTTGTCAAGAAGACAAGAACAAATATGGTTTTTTTTTTTTTTTTTGTTCAATTGAACAAATGTGTTTCATTAAATGCCTTTTTGAAATATACCAAAGTGTTAAATAGAAAACAACTTTGAATATAGTAATAAATGAAAAAGATGAATGATGGAATATATTTGGTTATGACTCTTTTTTTATATAAATATATCTTAAAATAATAGATTATACATAAACATTTTTTTTTCCTAAATTCCTTTTCATCTGATTTAAATTCGAATTTGAGATTTCCAACTTAAAATTTTAAACTCTTAACTATTGAGTTAATCCAAATTATAACCCTTATAAAATCTTTTACTTCTTCCATTCTAGTATTGGTATACTAATTGAGAATAAACATCTTCTCTAGGCTCTACACTCTTCCTCCGTCCTAATTCAAAGCTTAAGGCCTTCCATTTCGAAACCCTGCAAAAATCATATGAAAGTAAATGTGCAAATCATTTAAGTAAACCAAGATTCAGAATCTATCTCCAAAAAAGGAGGAAAAAAAGTAGAGAACCCCTGTATATACTCAATTTTGTTTGATAATCTACTAGTTACGTTGGATTAAGAACTTTAACCGTAAAGGAGTGTTTGTATATCATGTTAGTACGTTTGATATTCTTACTACTAAACATTAGTAAGCTTGAGACTAGATAAAATTCAGTTGAAAAATAAATACAATAAACAAATCAATAAATGTAACATATCAGTCTCATTTTAGAGGTATCTCCCCATCGTAACCATAAGAATTCCCCTTCGTCAAATTGCCACGATATTGGTGCCATCAAGATTTATAGCATCGCTTACAATATTCTCCTTCGCATGCCATGTCCACACCCCATAAAATGTATATTTTCCATCACTTCATTGAAACTAATTTCTTCTCCAACTCCTTTGAAGGCAAACTTTAATTTCAAGCTTCCCCAATAACAGTTGTAAATAGAGAGGCATTTGGTATCATCGTAAAAAGTTTCAAAAAGATGATGACTTGGAAATGAAAATAAGAAAAAAATGAAAACTTAAAGCTGACATTGTTTCGTTATGTTACTGATTCTTTACATTTTATTTTTGTATTTAAGTTCTGAAGAGAAAAATATAAAATAAATGTTATAAAAATCAGATTGAATTAGATTTCAAAAAGAGACAAAAAGAAGATAGAAAGGATGTCCTGCCTTACATCTGTTATAAAGGGGTTATAAGACAATTTTTTCAAAAAATATGTCTGAACTATAAGCAACTTTTTGAAAAGTTACTAAGATTTTCATAAAAAACAGTGCCTATGACTATAAGTGTGTATAGATGTAATAAAACTATTGTTTAATCTACATTTTACTATTATAGATTTAAGAAATCATTTTAAAATAATTACTATTCATAATTAACAGAAAATATAATTATATCCTGTAGTATTCATTATCATTTTAACAGGTAAAAAAAAAATTCATCACTAAAATGTTTTGAGATCCATAAAAATAGAAAATAATGTTCTATTCAACATCAAGGCCCTTGGAGAACCACTCATCCCTACCCAATTGACGTGGGCATAAATCCAGTAGGACACCCAAGAAAGAAGTTTGAGACTTGGATGGGATCGGACCATGGGAAAAGGGTTGCTTTCATCGTCAGAGGTTGGAGAGAAGCGAGGATTTTTATGTTTGGCGTCTGAGGACCAAATTTTGACCGTTAGTGTCAATTTTTCATCCTGACCCAATTGACTTGGGCATAAATCCAGTCCGTTACATTTGGATTGAAGTAATTGATTATTGGATTGGGCCCTAGCAGACACATATTTTACAATAGTAAATACGCAGTATTTTTCTGAATCAACAACAGTATCAAGCGTGGAGATGGGAGACTTGACTTCAAGAAAGTCCAGGATGGTTTATATATAGGTTAAGGTCCACAGATGATTGGAAAACGCAAAAGAAACATAAATTGGAAGCAAGGCAAAATTTATGAGAAATGGAGAATCCAACCTGTTAAAGGGGTCTCGTGATCATTGATTAATTTTTGCTAAAATGACAGTTATTTAAAGGAAATTTGAGCATGTATCATCGTTTTCCCATTTACAGGCACTTAAGCTAAGCAAAATACTCAAAATTAATTAGGGTTCCACCAGCAACATCAATTTCAAACCTTCTTCCCAAGGAAAACATCAGTAAGCACAGTTTTAGACTGCAGGGATGCCTGCAGCAGTTTCACACCCTAAAACAAGAACGGACAATGTTAAAGGCAGAACATGGTATAAATAATGAATACAAGAAGAAGTTTACAATGGTATACCAGATCCATTCCCACGTCCACTACCTTTTCTTTAAGGGAGCCAACTTCCTTAACATTGAACTTGTTCAGCGTAGAAATACTGGAAATCATTGACATAGGCCTCACTTCGAGATTGTCCGTCACCATATACGTTCCCACCCCCTTCACAAAACCACCCTGCTCCTCAGAGGAGGATGACTGCCTTTTTTGTGGCTCAACAAACACCTGCATTTGTTAATTTCATTGAGGAATTGCACTGACGAAAAGTTGCGCTCGGGTCACTTGCCACGCATGACTTACAGTTATAGACTTATAGGTTGAACACCCATGCATAAAAGGTAGTAGAAGTTGATGACTCAGTATTTGGCAAAAGAAGAGACGCATTTGCACCTGGAGTACAAACCTTGGCTTCAACAAGTCATCTTTTTTTATTGATGGCAGCATGTAGGGATCACTTAAGTTTTCGACACCGTCATAGAGGCATGCAAGGCTGCCTATCATGCCCTGTTTTGATAGAAGCCTTATTACCATTCCAACAGGCAAAGAAAGCAAGTTAAACAGAAAATCAACAAAATCTTTTCCTGTCTCAGCAAACAGAACTCTGTGGCCTTTGGAGTCCACCAAGAGTTTCAAGCTCACAGTTTTCTGGGTCGTTACCATGGATGATTATTCAGTTGCTAACTTGTTTCTTCCAAGAGGACTTATATAGAGAAAATGTTGCGATTAGAAGTGGAATGGCAATCGAAACGTTCATTGCAACAGACCATGGAGACGCCGATTAAATGCCAGGCATACCCATTAAATTAGTAAGGGAAGGGAATAAAATATGAAAAAGATGGAAATTCTCGGTACTTAAATGTTTGCAGCAAGAGCAAGTAGCTACTTTTAAGACTTATGTTATTTCGAGCCCGTTTGGTGTGACTTCTGAGAATTTTTACTTTTTAAGTACTATTATAAGTGATAAATTTAAATTTTTATTATTATGAGTGATAAGTTTAAATTTTTATTGAAAAAAAAAATAAAGTTTTAACTTTTAGAAAGGTAAAAAAATGAATGAAAAGTAAATAAAAATAGAATTTATGAAAAGTTTGAATTTGAAACTTTTAAACTTTCACTGTTTAAAAGCTTTTTGAGATTAAAAAAATATTTAAAAGTACAAATTTTTAAGAAAGAAATTTAAATTTATGAAACATGAATAGTATCCAAAAGCTGGAACTCATAGGAGCTGATCCAAACAGGGCCTTCATCTGGTTGCTTCAATTAACAGGATATTGCCACCAGTTAAAAAGTAATTTATACGAGGAACAAAGCTACCAACAAAGGGGAAAAAAAAAACAGAGAAAGTAGATTGTAGAATGGAAATTTCAATTATCTATTTCTCCTGGAAAGTGCCTTCACAACGTTTTCTAGTAACATTGAGTATACAATAACATTCAGTCTATGAGGCAAATGATTTTTGGTCAATGAGGTGTTCGATACTGTACAGCCAGACGGACCAACATTAGGATAACTAAATGCAGCTACCTGCAAAAAATAGATTCAAAGAAAAAAAGTGAAATGGGATGGAAAAAGCATTCAAAAGAAACCAATAACATGGTTACATGGCATATCAAAGTCCTTTCTTCAATCAACGACAGTTGCACTGGACACATTTAAGGCCATTACAACAGTGAAATGTCAAAAGAGTTTCATAAGAAATAGTTTTATGCATTTTGATCCACTGTTCTTTAAGCATGAGCAATGAAACGACTTCTTATTTTTCAACTGCTTGATTTCAACAACAATTTTGGTTTCATTGCGTTTTGCAACTGTCCTACTTCAAATACTTAACCATAGTCGAGTTTACCAACTAAATCTCATCGAGAGAATGCATTCTAACTAAAAAGACATTTATGAGAAGTAGGAGGTGGAAAAGAATCATATAACTTAGGATATAACACAATAAGACATTCCAAGTCAAACTAGCATTGCTAAAGCCTGAATGAAACTAGTCATGCCAAAAAACCTAAAAAAAGAAGAAGAGGAAAGAAAGAAGGATGGCAAACAACTCAAATAAAATCTTGGTAAGATAATACAGTATTGGAGGGTCTATTTTCCTCTTATGAAGCAGGTTATTAGATACTGGCTACTACTGGAGAATCTACAGTCATTAAAAAAAGCTCATTACCTCACTGGTTTTGCCAGGGGAGATCAACTTGATGCTCCAAAGTTCTAGAGCAAAATAATCCAGCTGAAGAAATTGAAAATGATTTAAGCTATCAGGTTGAAGGCCTCTCCTTAGATTGTAGTAGTGCTACACTGTACTAAGTGATGCAAGAAACCCCACCGGTCTTCATCTTCTTTAACAATCTGTTTATAATCAGCATTCTGATACATATTAGGACTATATAAGACAATAAGTATGTGTTCTGCAGCATGGTACAAGAATATAATATATAAATAGGATATTTAAGTTGTGGCGTGGAAAAACATTTCTAAAAGTTTGTAAGAAAGAATAGTTAGACCCAACATGCACCTTAACTCAGTATGTGGAAAACTGGGAGAACCAAGAATGAAACTGAAGAACCAAATGAAATCACTAAGACAAAGAAATGATGTCCCCAAAGGAACGTCCTAGTGGTTAAGTGCTTGAGCCTCCATGTTAGAAATCTCAGGTTCAGGTCGTGAGATGGGTGGCGAAGACTTTGGAAAGGGAAAGGCTATCTCTTGTTCTATAGCCCATTACCTAATGTACCAACAAGAAAAGAACTAAGACAAAGAAATACAGGAGAAGCTGAAAAAGAAGTAAAGAACCTATAAAGGAAATACTTAAATGTAAATATTTTTTTTAGTTCAATCAAATCTGTCTTAACAAATAAAGCATTTTTTAGCGATCATAAAAACAATGTGAACATCAAACATTAATTCCATACCTTAATTGGGGTATCCTTTGGCAGACCCAAATGGGCTAGAACATTAGAACCAACTTGATTCCACTCAATCTCTTTTTTATCTCCCAATTCTCCGCTGTTATTTAATTGAATCCAGCTTTTATCGCAAGAAAAAGACCTTCCTACCCAAAAATAGAGATTCCTAACTTCACTTTTGCCCAAACCTGTACTTGGGATGAAAATTGCAAATGCAGATTTAGAATCTAGATCAGACATACTAAGTCTTGAAATCCTTTCTAAATGGGGCAATCGATATACTAAAGGTTGCATTACATTTGGATGCGAAGAACCACTTTCCTCCAACCCTTTCAGGGCAGTGGATCCAAACCCATCTCCTAAAGCGTAATTTCTACAAGGAGGGCCTGAACTATCAGCAAAAACAGCTTCCTTATCACACAGATCAATATTAGCTACTCCACCAGGAGATATCTTCAACTTGGGAGCTAAATCTCCCTCCCCTTGTCTCACACCACACTTGGAATCAAATACAATTTCTATATCTGACCCATATGAAGAGTAAGAGATGCCATTGATCCCGATCCCATCTTCCTGACTGACATGAAAAGACGGTGGATTTACTCTTATATTATCAGTCATCGCCGGCAGCTTCAGAGACTTTGACAAGCTCCCACGACGCTCTGCTAGGGAAACTGAAGCTTTTTTAAAAGCTGAAGCTGCAGACCTAGGGCTTGGCTGCAAATTGCAAGTCTTGCCCACAATTTCTGGGCCATTAGTTTGGGGTTCAGTCATTTTGGATGAGCAGAGTGTCAAGTTAGAAATGTTAGACAAAGCTGAAGACACTGGAAGAGGACACGAAGCAGCTGAAGGAGAATCCACAGATGATTCTGAATACCTCGAACCAGTACTTGAATCAGAAGATATGGAATCAGGAGAAAGATAAGGTGAAGATGAGGATGACAATGAGGATGAAGGGGATGATGAGTGTACTACCATCATAGATTCTGAGTAGACCCTAGGGAGGGATAACTTAGGTAATATGACAAATTCCTTCATTACACCAGAAGCAAACTTGCGTCTAAGAGCACTCCAACTGCTTTCTCTAGCAGGAAGGTGAGTTTCATATTCATTCTCAGATGAAGCAAGTGAAGGAACAAAACCCCCCTTGATAGCTTTCTGGAAAATCTCAAAATCAACATTATATGCATCCACTTTCCTCTGACCAGGGGAAATCTTTATTGTTGATTCCCCAAACTCCACTCTTCCAGATTTATCCATCAAAGGTAAAAAGTTTGAAAAGGCATCCCAAAAGTGTGATGGTTCTTCTCCCTCCTTGATCATTACTATTGGCCCTCGCACTTTCTCATACCGAAAAATCTGACAGACAGACCCTCTTGCATCCCTTTCCATGATGGCATCACAGTTTTTACCAATCCAAATATACATTGCAGAAGGTATTTGAATGATAAAGGCACCTCTAGAATCCAGAGCAAAAGGAGAAGGATCATTCAACATTTTTGGGACAAGGTGCAAAGGATCATATGGTGAGTGAGGGGCAAGTTTATACATTCTCAATAAGGAACTAGGGCTCAAAGGAACTGCATGGACCCTCTTTTGGCACTGCAGCAACTGGCAAGCAAAACCCATGTTTGGATCTGCAATCCCTCTAGCTGCCTTCACATACTGAAAGGCATCATCAAAACTCTGACCTTCTCTCCACATAAGATATGCTATCACCAACGATGTGGACCTCGATACCCCCTGGCAGCAATGAACAAAGACCCTTCCATGCTGTTCCCTAACATCTTCAAAGTAATCAAAAACGTCATAGAGTATACTTGTAATATCCTCAGATGGATTGTCTTGCAACCACAGAGTTCTGTACACAAAATCATCCTTGAAATACTCAGAACAAAGAAAACCCACACAATTCAAGACATGGGTGATTCCATTCTTCTTTAGTATATCCCTGTCTCTCGCGACTGCATCTCCACCAAGATAAATATGTTCTGCCACTTTTGAACATTCTTTGTCAAAGAAAGCAATTTTATCCCTCTTCACAAGACCACCATTCTTGTCTGGATTCCTCTGAATTGATGACAAATCAAGCTTTAACCTCTCGCCACTCTTGTTCCCACTTGGGGTTGGTGGTTGTGGCCACTCCCCAAGATCATCAGAACTGGCCTTTGGCCACTCATCTAAACTCCTGCGTGCAATCGATAATGGCTGTAGAGGTGGCAAACAAGAGCGGGCCTTACAATTCTGTTGAGACCTCGGGGTTAAAGGAGGAGGAGGAGGACAACGGCGACTTTGCCCATCATTATTACCATTACTACCATGCGGATCTGCTAAATCTCCCTCTTCACTTTCAGAAGCTTGAGAGGCAGTTCGGCGAGAGGACCACGAGGCTGAGCGCAAAAACATTTTTCGGGAGCCAGAAATCTGGCCTCCAGCCCACGGATTACTGGAAGCATCTTCCTTTCCCACCATACCCACCTACTTCAAAAAATCAACTTTCTAATTTGAAAACCTAGAGAACCAGATGAACCCTAATTTTCCACCATACCATTCAAGAACATGAAATAATTTGAGCCCCACTTCTTCAATAACCTATTGGGTATCGATTAAAATCAAATTCCCAGTAAAACCCTAAATTTGCATTATGCCCAGTATTAAACTCGATATTAAACTCGAGGTAAACCCAGAACCTGAAAGATGCGACGATTCCTTAATTGGTTGGAAGAAAGAAGCCGACCCAGAATGTAGAGAAATCAAAACCAATAACAAATCAGCGATCGCTGCACAGAGAGAGAGAGAGAGAGAGAGAGAGAAAAGCAGCAAATCAAATTTCTATGATTCAGAAGCAAAATATAGAAAATTACGTACATATAAAATCTTCCATTAAGTTTCCTTCTATGGGATGGCGCAAGAGACAGAGATTTGAGACTTACAGAATGGAAGAGCACAAGGCAGCCATGAAAACCGAAGAATCAGAGAGGGCCAGAGCGAGGGGGAAAGAAAAGGGAAAGGAGCAGGGACGAAGAGGGGTAAGAAGCAGTCTTTTTCAATAATTTGTCTGTTTGACTGAAGGAGTGAGAATGAAAGCCTTCTCCTTTTGAAGGCTTGTGTATTTGTTGGACTGTAGACTCCACACTTGGACCATGTGAAACTCCTAATGTTTCTCTTTCACCCACTCTTCCTCTTACATTTTAGATTTGATGACTGCCTAGAACAAAATTTTTTATATTTTATTTGCAATAATATACAATTTTATGGTTTTTTTATTTTTTGAGCATTGCGGAATTTAAGCGATGGGGAACATTTTTTTTGAAGATGTTAATGAAAGTAAGATGAACCACTCAGCCCAAAGGTTCAGTTTATGATTTTTTTATTTAAAGTAAACCTATATACAAAGTTTTATATTTTTAGAATAAATATAGTAATGAATAATCAATTCTACCGATGCAACACATCTTATAATGTATTTTATATATTTGATAATAATAAATTATATGTTAAAAATGACTCTTATTTTTTTTAAAGTTTTTTTAAAGTTTTTTTTATTTGATTTAAAATTTAAATTTAAAATTTTTAATTTAAAATTTAAAATTCTTAATTATTAACTCACTTAAAAATTTTAAATTTTCAACTGTTAAGTTCTCAACTGTTAAGTCACTTAAAGAGTACAAATCTTATATTTATTGATGAGAGACATTTTCTGAATTTTTGATATTAAAGTAATCTCCTCCTTCAATTATTATAAGACACATACACCCTGCAGATTACATCAAATTCCATAGTGTATAAAGCGACACTCAAACCCACAAGTTACAATATAGACGATGAAAGGTAGCAGAATGACAAAATTAGTTGGCAAATGATTGTGATTTGTTTCTATATATAGGAGAAACCACAAGTAGAACGACATTGAAGAACCGAGCAAGCAGACTCTGGGATTCATTTCAACTTTCAGGTCTCAAGATTGTGAAATAGTAAAATATGACATGATGAATTGAAGAAGTTTCGAGACATGATGAAGTTTCTTGGCATGATCATACATTTATTTACATGTGGACATATATGGTATATGCAGCATTGGACGCATGGGATGACAGAAGAATTATTGCTCGTAGCATGACCCAGGACCCGTTGGGGGTGTTCTGGCATACTTATTTGTGACTGGAGCAGCCTGAACCCCACGCCTATTCAGAAGGCATCGGAAATAATGTAGCCTTGGTAATGCAGTTAAGGTAGCGTTTCCTGTAGAGATAGCCTCCCTTCTGCTCCACAAGCGCTCTATAGGTAGAAAAAAAACAGAAGGAATGACATGCTTAAACAAGAACAAGACAAGGAGAATGCAACTCCTAACTCCGCAATTAAAATTTCTAAATCAGGAAAAAAAATAACTTTGATGCCTCCCTGATTATTTACTTTCACCAGGGCATAGGGGGCACATACCTGCTGCCGCAGCAGCTCGAGGCCATATTGTTTGCTGGACATCTGAGGTATCAGCTGTCTCACCCCACATGCAAACTTCTCCTCCGAGAACAAGCTTCTGCTTGGAAGCATCATTTATTCCCTCTAGTGGCTCCGCAGTATAGACTTTTTCCCAAGGGACATCGAGATGATCAAGATACCAAACACCTTGATTGCTGAAAATGCATCTGAATCCTTTGGCCACAGCCTTTGGACATACCCCAGGGCCCAACCTACAGTAACAGACAAAGTCATCATGATTTCAGAACAGAGTAACACCTCTGGCATGTGAAATTTGAATCAAAACTTACCAATTATGCACTACAGTACGAGGATTAAGGTTTGCAGCAAAAGTATTGAAAGTTTCTTCCCTGTTATAAGAATACTCAGATTCATCAGATTTTTCAGGACGTTCAAAAGTTGAGAAACAGTAAACAGAGATACACCTTTTTATAGCTGAAATTTCATGTTCATGCAAACTTATGCATACTGGTAAGCATAGTTTCTTATTTTTCAACTATTTGCATATTTTTAATATATTCATCCATTAACTTTAAAGTTTTTGCTGACATCAAATTGGTAGTCCTTATGACCTTAGCTGGAATGGCTACATATTATAACTGCTCATGCGGAAAAATCAGAGAGCAGTCAACTTCAGAATGGTAGAAGGGAAGTTTGCTGAAATACCAGTTAACAGGTGTCCAGTTTTGTGAAATTGCTATTTCTTGTGCTCTGAGTACGAAATATTGGTATGCATCCTTCGTAGACATGTTGTGATCACCCAGCCTGCAAGTAGATTGATTGATGAGTTAATGGTTGACCAAATGGTAGAAGCTTGTATAGAAGCATTATTAGCCAGTGGTGGATTAAAATGATAAACAAAATTTGATCCGTGGAAGGATTTGAGGATCGTACCATTTTTTCACATGAGGAGTATAGCTCCAGCAATCTGTAAGAATAGAGTCCTAGTATTAATAAATTCCAGAAGGTATGAGAGCAAAAAATCAACAGTACTAGAGGGGGTTTCATCTCATCTTAACACTTCAGAGCATGCTTTTACTTACACTGATTTGTAGACAAGCTAAAAAAGGTCTCTGATAAAATTTTCTTTTCTCCATCCCAGATTTTCAAGAGCAAATAATTATATATTTCTGTCTTAAAAGAAGCGACAATGTCTGGAAACAACAAGAAAGCCAGTCATAATAACCTGTATTAACCTCATCACCACCCAAGTGGAAGAGCTCGAATGGGAAAATTTTTCTGATATCTGTAAAAGAAAAGGTTTCCTTCAAAATTATATAAAAATGAGAAAAAGAATATATGGAAAATTCTTATAAATAAATTACTATATCGATGAAAAAAAGGCCTAAATCAACAAATAGTATGACATGCATTGCAATTTGCATGGGAAGATAATTGGGAGAAAAGAAGGGAGAGAACAAACAAGTCTGACACTACCTGCAAATCTCATTCTAGATGTAGGTAAGGAATCAATACCATAAACATGGCAGAAAGCAATAATTCTATACAAGAAAATAAGTTTACCCTGAAAAAACCTTAGGTCTAAAAGTGGGTCTCTTCCAGAAAGTGACTAATACTACCATGGGAAGGTTTTCATGAAGCCTAACCTGCCAGAATGCCAGAAATGACATCAAAAGTAAACTTTTTTGAAACATCAAGTGGCTCTCTGCAGGAAGAAGATGGCCAAAGATCAGGATATCCAGCTCCCCTACAACAAAATGCAGATCACAACTTGGAAGATTATGTCATAGTGATACATATCAACGGTAATGCCAAGAAAAAAAATTTAAATAAACAACATAAGAACAAGAAAATTGGCATTTCCTCTTTTGCAAGGACAAATTGCAAAATGAGAGGTAATATGTATCCACCAAAGTTTATATACAGTGACAATTGTTTTAGTATACTAATAAGGGGAAAGAGAAGTAAATCTGAAGAATCATTTTAATTCTCATTTATTTTATATTCCTTGTAAGAAAGTGCAGGATACACATTTACACAAACACAAATATTCTATTTTTTCCATTTTACTACAAGTATAATCTTATCCAGTATTCAAATAGTTCAACTTCCACAATAGATGTATGAAAATAGCTTAAGTTCTTCTCATTATTCAAGCTCTTCAGCTGTAATTATAAAAGAAAATAAAATAAAAACCTTTGATATCAAAGAAAGAAGTTAAACTTATATCAGCCTTACCATGATTCTGCATGACCAGGGACATCGACTTCAGCCATAACGTTGATGCCTGCCATAAACCACCCAAAATAACTATAAAAAGAACATAAATTGTTGAAACTAAAGAAAAAGTACAAAGACAAAGCACACCTCTCATTTTGGCAAAGCTACAAATTGATGTGCCCACACATAAGATAGAAGACAAGCAATTAGCAATGGTAGGCAAGAAGCAAGTACATAACAAGTTTAAGAAGATATAAGAGATGTGATTTTTCTTACTATAGAGAAATGAAGGAGAATAGATAACTACCCAAAGAAATGTCTTTAGAAGCTTTAAATCGCAGAAGTTACCTAGGGATCAAATAAGCTGTTTATAATTTACCTAACAATCTCTTGAGCATCCTCAACCGTATAGCGCTCCCACTTTGAATATGCACCTTTCCACAAATTTGGATATGTTGGTACTTCTAGAGGAAATGACTGCTCATCTATGATGTGCCAATGAAGAACATTCTACTGAATGCAATTCTTAATATCAGAGAACACAAAGCAATGCAATAATTATGTGATGGATAGATTGAATTTGATTCTGTAATTCAACAATGGTACAGAAAGATTTAAAGCAAAAGGAAAGAAAATTAAGTCCAATAGCATATCTTACAAGTTTAGCATAAGACATAGATTCAACTATCTGCTTAATGACATTAACTGGTAAATAGTGTCTTGATGTATCTGCAAATATTGCAAGCAACACGGTCATCAAGTGATATTCAAGGAAAAGTTCATTTTAGAAAAGAAAATTCACTGAAACATGTTCATTGTAATAAGAAACAAAATTGATGCTTACCAAGTAAAAGTCCCCGATATCCAAATCTTGGCTTATCTTGGATGTACCATGGCACTTTGTATATTTGCACTGATTTAGTTCCATAATCAAACACACACAACTGGCTGAATGTCTACAGCATAAGAAAGGAGAATACTAAATAAAGGGCACAGAGACTTTTAAGTCCTAACGAGTAACAACCACAAGAAAATGACATCATAGAGAGGAATAGTTGATTTTCTATACCCCTCAAATCAAAGAAACATGGGTCAAATCCAATAAAAGCATCAATTGAATGGTTTTAGGGTAACTTAATTAATGGAATATGATTTTCCACATAAATCAAGTACTACACCACTACTTAAACCATATTTAAAATTCATTACCATTTTCTGGTGTTAAAATATATCTTATCCCTAATTTACACAAGAGTATAAAACAAAACACGCCAAGATTCCTTTAGGAAGAAATATCAAGAATCGAATAAAATTTTGAGTGTGCAAGTTTCTGTGTGTAAATGTTTTGAAACAATATGGAAGCATAAAATCCATACTTTCTGATATTTTCCACATTCTTGGATCTATACATAGTCGATCTTTAGTTGGGAAAATGACAGTGCTATGGACATAACATGCATGAACAAGTAACAACCACGTATAATGTGCCTAGTTCAGTATGAAATTTAAATATTTAATTGTTGTTTACATACCTCCAACCCTCGCAGCGCACCATATACAGTATTCGCCTGAAATAAAACCAATATTAGCTTAGATTTTACATCAATCCCTCCATAACTCCCATTCTTCAGTTAATTCACTAAAGATGCTTCTTTTTGTCTCCCAGTAGTAAAAGAAAAACAAATAGAAAGCTATCCCAGTCTTATAGAGATAATAGCTGTTGCATGTTCCAACACATGAACGCACTACCCAGAGGACTAATTGTCATTTTGAGTATTCAACTGATTGTCAGTACACACTGCAAACGTTAAACCCCCTTTGCTCAAGTTTTCAATTAAATTTACCTCAATAGTCGCCTCCCCAACGATCGACTGCGCATCACTCTTCGCTACTAACAGGGTATAACTCTCATCCACACCCAATTGGAGCTGGCCAGAACAACAGGAAGACTAAAACTCAAAACTTTATCATAGAATTGAAAGACAAATCTAATCTAAATTCGACCCAACTGACCTCTTCACTCTCTGAGTGAACAGTTACTCTCAATTTGCTAATATCATACACGGATCCTCTCCCCATGAACTTCCCAAATATAGAAAATCCAGCAGCGTGCTTGAATGTGACCCTCTTATATCTTTCAAACGCCTCTTTGATGATGACGGAATTACCCCCATCCCCTGAAACAGTCAGCACGATTGAAGGGTCCACGGAAAGCGTGTTGCTGCCAGAAGTGAACTCTGACGGCAGAGGCCAAATATAAGTCTGAGATTCATCCAGATCAAATGCGATCCCAAGAACTACATTTTGAGAGACGAAGAAGGAAAGTAGCAAAATGATGGGAATTTTGAGAAGGGGTTTTGAAGAACAGATGAACATGGCTCTGTGAAGAAACGGGATTCGTTCCCCTTCTCAGGCTTCTATTTTTGTTTGGCCAGACAAGGGAAGGAGCAGAGGGAGGGAGAAGTGTTTAAAGGTGTTTAAAGAGTGGGTGGGGGATTGGGGCGGGGGGTTGAGGAAGAGGTAGCTGAATGGTTGGTGTGAGTTAACCGGACAAGATGACGGACAGGTATAGATGTATAGTGAAAAAGACACTCAGTGAGTTTCACCGCTCGTGTTTCTGTTTTGACGGTTGATGTTTGCGGTGGAAACGTTAACCTTGGGTTCCTCTGATTGGACGGTTAGTGTTTGCGGCGGAAACGTTAACCTTGGGTTCCTTTTCCCCGCTTTGGGTCCAAATTAAATTATTTAATTGGGTCTGGATTCGGGCTCACCGGCTTTTGCGCACTACCCCTAACCCCCACCGACCCCACAAAAAAAAAAGGGTTTCTTCTTCGCTTGCTCCCTGGCTCTTACGTACAGATAACAATTTGCTTCGAAAATTATGAAGTTTTGTGGGGATTTCAATAATTAAAATGGAGATTTAGAAAATATTTTTTCTTTTTAAGTTTGGATAGGGTTTTTTTAATTAAATTTTTTTGGCCTCATGGGTGCTTGGGAGAATTTGTATATAATTAAAGAATATAAAAATATATTTTATAAATTATAATATATTTATAAAAAAATAAAACCTAATTAATAAAACAAACTTTAAATTTATATTTTTATAAATTATAATATATATTTATAAATGCATAAAGTCTATAATTTGTTTCAAATTTCTACTCTTTTTATACTTTATAAATCGATCAATGAGTTAACTTTCACTTTTAATTGGGCTAAAAGCATCATGATGAATTGCAAATTCATTATAATTTTCAAATGCATAATAATTCGAGTAAAGGAAAAGTCAAATGATCAAAACTAAAACAACCTGTCTGCATGTTTGCCATTTTCATTTGAACAGGAAAAAGATGGTTAACTAATCAATAGAGTTTTACTTGTTTTGGTTGGTGTTGTGTTTTCACCTTTTTAAATTACAAATTAAATATTTTTGAAGCCGAAGCCACCTTGTGGCTGTAGTTTAGTGGTGAGAATTCCACGTTGTGGCCGTGGAGACCTGGGCTCGAATCCCAGCAGCCACATATCAGAAACATTTTTTCTCCTTCGGATATGCAAGCTAAGGAAAAATCTGATTTTCAAGAGGTTAAGAAGAAAATTAAATTTAACAAGAAATTAAAAACGAATGATTTACGCCTCGTTTGTTTTTATTATCCTCTGTGTAGTTATGGCTTTTTTTTTCCTCTTTTTTTTATCTTAAAATTATATAAAGTATTAATTAAAATTAAAGGTTAATACTATCAATCATAACTTTTAAAAAAATTAATACCCAACTTAGATTTAAAAATTGAAATTCTAATTCAAAACTAAAAAATTCAGACAGTTTCAAAATCTAAATATCAATATTTAATACGATAAATTTTTAAATTTAAAATTAAATTTAATTAAATAAAATAACATAATTTAAAATTAAAATTTCAAATTTTTCCAAAGTAATGATTGATATGCATTTTTTCTTGAAATTAATAAAATATATAAAAAATAAAAATTATATATTTACATTTTTAGATAATATGTTATTTGAGAAGAGTTTGGGCATAACATTGATAAATGGAAGCTTTATACTAATTTTTC